ATTTGTCATGTGTTGAATGCTAGCCATTCTTACTGGGGTGAGATGAAATCTCAGTGTTGTTTTAATTTGCATTTCTTGAATGACTAATGATGTTGAACATTTTCTCATATATTTATTTGCCATTTGTATTTCTTTATCTGAGAAGTGAGTGTTCATCTCAGGTGCCCATTTTTGGATTGGGTCTTGAAATTGGGGAGGGGGTGATGTTTTTCAATTCTTTATATATTCTAGATATAAGACCTTTGTCCAAGGGACAGTTAGCTAAAATTTTATCCCAACTTGTAGGTTTTCTTTTTACTCTGCTGGTGATTTCTTTAGATGTGCTGAAACTTTTCAATAGGGTGAGATCCCAGTTGTTGATTCTTTGAAGTATTTCACAGGCAGTTTGATTTTTGTTCATGAACTCTCTGCCTACCCCTATGCCCTCAAGATTTTTACTTACTCTCTCTTCCAATAGATTTATTGTTTCTGTTTTAATATTGAGATCTGTGAACCATTTTGACTTGAGTTTGGTGCATGGTGATAGACATGGGTCTATTTTCAGCCTTTGGCAGAAAGTGAGCCAATTTTTCCAGCATCATTTATTGAAGAGGCTATGATTCTTCCAGTAGTTTGTTTGGCCCCTTTGTCAAAGATCAGGTGGCTGAGTGTGTTTTTGGTTGTGGCTATTTCTTCCAGTCTGTTCCATTGATCCTTAGGTCTGTTTTTTAGCCAGTACCGGGCGATTTTATTATAGTATCTTTGTAGTACAATTTCAGGTCAAGGATTGTGATTCCACCTGACTTGTCCTTGTTGCCCAGGATTGCTTTTCCTATTCTGGGTCTCTTCTAGTTCCAGATAAATTTAAGGAATGTTTTCTCTAGATCTGTGAGGTATGCTAATGGTACTTTAATGGGAATTACTGTGAATTTGTGCAACAATTTTGGTAGTATGGTCATTTTCACAGTGTTGTTTCTTCCTATCCATGAACAAGGAATATTTTTCCATTTACTGAAATCTTCTTTGATCTCTTTTTTCAGAGTACTGTAGTTTTCATTGAATAGAACTTTTATTTCTTTTGTTAGATTGATTCCTAAATATTTCAATTTCTTGGATGTTATTATGAAAGGTATGGTATCCTTAATTTCTCTCTCAGTCTGTTTGTTGTTTGTGTATAGGAATGCTATTGTTTTTTGTGTGTTGACTTTGTATCCAGCTACACTGCTGAATTTGTAGATTAATTGAAGGAGTCCTTTTGTGAGGTTTTTGGGGTCTTCCATGTAAAGTATCATGTCATCTGCAAATAGTGATAGTTTTACTTCTGCCTTTCCTATCCTTATTCCTTTTGTTTCTCTCTCTTGTCTAATTGCTCTGGGTAATGGTTCCAGAACTATGTTCAACAGGAGTGGTGACAATGGACATGCTTGTCTTGTTCCTGATTTTAAAGTGAAAGCTTTTATTTTTTGTCCATTTAGTATGATGTTGGCTGTTGGTTTTCCATAGATAGCTTTGATCAGATTAAGGTAAAGATAATCTATTCCTTTGTTTTTTAGAGTTTTTACCATGAGTGCATGTTGGACTTTGTCAAAAGCTTTTTCTTTGTCTATTGAGATGATCATGTGTTTTTTGTCTTTAGCTCTATTGATATGTTGTATAACATTAATTGATTTGAGAAAAATTTAACCATCCCTGCATTCCTGGAATGAATCTGACTTGGTCATGCTGTATGATTTTCTTGATGATTTGCTGTATTCTATTTGCTAGTATCTTACTGAGTATCTTTGCATCTATATTCATTAGGGAGATTGGACTGTAGTTCTCTTTCTTGGCTGGGTCTTTCTCTGGTTTTGTTATCAGTATAATACTTGCCTCCAGAAATTAGTTAGGGAGAATTGCTTCATTTTCAATTTCATTGAAGAGTTTGAGGAGTGTTGGTATTAAATCTTGTCTGAATTTCTTGTAAAATTCTGCTGTGAATCCATCAGGGCCTGGGCTTTTCTTTGCTGGTAAGTTTTTAATCATGTT